GCAGCAGGCCACAGCTGGGCCCCTCCCCACTCCCGGCCACCCGCAGGCTCCAGCCCCCCATCCCCCAGCTGCCCCAGCTTCTCAGGGAGGGGAGCGCTGGGGATGCCCAGCTCCTCTCTTCCTGGCTCTGGGCCCACTCTGGGCCTGGAGTGTTCCTTCTGCCTCTTAAGAAGCCCTACCAATGGCTCCATCTGGTAGGCGTTTATAACCCCATCGTTCAATGAGGAATCAGGCTCAGAGAGGTTAAGTAACTTGTTCAGAGTAACACAGCCTACAAATGGCCAAGATGGGACGCTGACCCAGAGCCTCCCGCTGCCTTGGCCAGGTGGTTTTAGATATTGGTTTCCTAATGAGCCTGAGCCGCCCCCTGGCCTGTAGGCAGGAGTGGGCCAGAGAAAGGTAGCCCATTTTTAAAGTTGGCCAAAGCCAGTGGCAGCTGTAGAAGTAAACAAGTGGTGAGAAACATGTTGTGGGGTGTGTCTCACATGCAGCCAAGTGGCTTGGTGATGATAGGGAATCCACGAGGGTTTACTGTCTGCCTCCTGCATACAGGACATTGGGCCGGGTGCTGGGGCGATGCCAGGGATGCCAGGATGCCTTAGCGTCCAACTGGAAAGAGGAGAAAATGTGCTTCTGTTGAGCACCTGCTGGATGCCAGACATGCTTTAAGTACACCCTCCTCCCGTAAGACAGAGGCTGTTACTTGTCCCATTTTCAGATGAGCAAACCAAGGCTCGGAGGCCGGGAGTCATTGCTCAAGGCCACACAGCCTTCAGACCCCTTGCCTGGAGTGCTGGCCGGGCTGACCCCAGAGCCCCTTCTGTGGGCCACTCCCTGTGCCCACTGTCCCCCTCCCTGGCCTGGTGCCAGTGGGCAGTGCCCAGTCTGACCTCTGTGTGCAGCTCATGGGAAGAGAGACTCTGTGGGGAGTGGTGATTCCCGCACGTCGGGGGTTTTCAGAAGGGCTGTGGCAGGGCAGGAGGGCTCTGTGAGAAGGGACATCCTGGTGGGGATTGGAAAGGTAGATGCGGTCACCTAGGTGAAGGAGGTGAGGACAGGTGTCCTGGGCAGAGGAGCAGCAGGTGCAAGAGCCAGGAGGCAGGGTGGAGGCGGGGGTGGTTAGAGAGGGGCTTGGAGGACTGGGGAGTCCTGGGCTGAGGACAGCCTGCCTTCCTACCTGCTGGGCCTTGAGCCCTGAGCATGGACCCACCCAGTGTAAGCACCATGTGCGTGTGCATGGACGCCTGTTTCACTTCACACCTGGATGAGGGCCCGGGGCAAAACTGGGATGCCTGAGCCTAGGAATGTCACTCTGGTGTCAGGGCAGAGTGTGGAGCAGAGGGACCCCGTGATCCCAACCCCTTCTCCCCCCGAGGGTCTGTGGGGTCAGAGCTGCAGGACCCCCAGCCCATCTGGCTGTGGGTGGGGCACACACAGCTTGTGGGCTGATGGGGACAAATATTCCCCCCCCAAAAAAACTTTTATTTTGAAAGCGAGAGAAACATTAAAATAACAGCTCAGTGAGCACCTGTGTCCTTCATCTAGATTTGCCAGCAGCCAACATTTTGCCGGGCTTTGTTGCTTCTCTTTCTAAATATATGTGTGTACATTTCTGACGAAGCTGCTGGCATCCTGACCTCACCCCCAAATACTTCAGGGCACATCTCAAGTGAAAAGGGATATTCCCCCACATATCATGCCCATGCTGTTCCCACCGCTAAGAAAATCAGCAGTGAGCCCATCAGGGCATCTAATCACTCCCTATGGTGCATCTTCCCCAGCGATCCGAATAATGTTTGCTGTGGCTCGTCTTTAACACCAGATCCGGGACCCAATCCAGGCTCTGTGGGTTGCATTTGATGGCCTTGGCTCCTTTTCTGGAACAATCCCCTGCCTTGTTTTACCTTTTATGGCCCCGACATACTCAAGTGTCCTGGCCAATTGTCTTGTAAGATGTCCCGCCTTCTGGATTTGTCTGGTTACATCCTCATGATCAGATCCAGGTTGACTGTTTCTGGCAGGAGAACTCCGTGGATACCACGTCCTCCTACGGCATCAGGTCAGGGAGGCACCTGGTGTCGGGGCGTTTCACTATCGGAGAGGCCAGGTTTGATCAAGGACAGTCATCTTCATGGTCATATTTTTGTTGTGTGTTAGCTAAGATATGAGCAGCACAAGTCATTGGTAATTTTGTGGATATTGAAGCTTAGACTGAATCTGGATCAGGCAAGTAAACGAAGTAAATGAGCTGATTTAAAGAAACATCTTGAGTGAATCATCGGACTGGTGGTTAGGGAAGAATCGAGAAGGTAGTATGGGAATGGCTGGGCTCCTGGAAACCCAGACAGAATGATAAGAACGCAGGTCTCGGCATTGGGCAGATCCGGGTGGTGACAGTGGCCATGGGTCCCTTCCTCAGGTCCCTGGCTCTGCTGTCTCACCTGGACAGTCAGGTTCACACTGGTCACCTCCAGGTACCTGAGCCCTTAGAGGGGCTTCAGGTAGAAGGCTGGGCCCCCAGGGGGCTGCCTGCTGTCCGCCCCACTCAAGACCCTGCATGGCTCCAGGTAGGGAAGCAGTGATGGCTTGCTGGCCCCGGCATGGTGCCAGGGGACACCTGATGGCTTCTTCTGTTTCCTAAAGGTTAATTAGCTCCTTAAAGCATCAGTAGGGCCTGTCTCCCCCACCCCAGCTCACGTCCCCCGGGGCTTGACTGCCTGCTGATCACCCAGTGTTCTGTGTTGGGGACCATTCTGATGGGGGAGGGGCAGCCAACTGTGTCTCCCCCCCCCCCAATGGCTTCTACATCCTGGGGACTTGGGGGGAGCTTCTGAGCTAGGGGACTCCAGGGGAGCCTTCTCTGGCCCTGGGAGCCCAGAGGTCAGTAGTGGATCTGCCACCCAAGCTCTTACCACTTAGCTCCTAGTGTTTCTGTCACGTGATGCCAAGGTCACACAAAGTCATGCAGCTCTTCATCTGATGCTCTGGGTGGAGGAGGCGCCCAGCGGCCTTCATCCCAGGCTCTGAAGGCAGTCCTGGCCCTGCCGTTTCCTGGCAAGGTGACCTTGGGTTACTTCAGGCCAGTGGACTCAGCTGCACTGCGATGTCGTCGGGGAAACGGGCCCACCACCTGCCTGTGGGATTCCTGTGCCCGAGAAGGGCATCAAGTCGTTTTAGTCTACACGATGGCCTGTGTTACAGATGAGGCAACTGAGGCTCGGGGAGAGGAGGTGCTTTGTGCAAGGACCCACAGCTGGTATGAACCCAGGAGGCCTAGTCTTGCTCCAGAGTATGTGCCTGGAAGCTCCCGCCTGTGCTGTGCTGGGTCTCCTGGGTCTCTCCAGGTTTGGGCTTTGAGCATCATCCCCTCGCCCCTGCTGCCCTTCACTGCCGGGTATGGGTGGTGAGTCCAGGGCAGCTGAGCCCGGGTTAGACCAAGGTCTCCTTCCTTCTCCACCCGCACACCTGACTCCTTCCCACCTTCTACCCTCCGCCAAAACTCCCTTGGAAAATGGCATTTTTTCCACCAGGTCTGGCCGATCCAGGTAACCCGCGCCGCCCGCTATCGCTGTACCTTCTGTTTATCAGCTGCCTATTCAGGGGCTGGTCTCTTCCCTCTGCCTGGGATCTGGGCTTGTGGGAAGAGGGGCCTGGGGGCGGCCTCCAACCTTCCCCGGGAGGCTGACCACCAGCTTCTAGGCTGCAGAGTTCAGACCCTCACCCCATCACTTCATGTCCTGGCCCCTTCGTGCCTCAGTTTCCCCATTTGGAGGCAGGGCAGAGTAACGCTGTCTTCCCTCTGAGTTGTAGTCAGGGCAGCTGAGCCAAAGCACAGAGGCCCGCCTGGCATGGAGCCGGTGGCCACTTGGTATTTGGCAGTTGTTACAAGCTTCTCTTGAACTGGGTTTTTAACAAGTGGCCTCCTCAAGTCCAGGCAGGCACGGCAGTTCAGGGACACCCCCTCGGGCCTCCCCTCCCGCTTCCCTGGGAAGAGGTTGCAGTTCCTTTTCTCAGCTGACCCCACCTTGCACCCACATTCCTGTCCCTTCGTTCACTTGTACGTGCGTCCCTTCCTTCCACAAGCCTGCACTGAGTGCACTGGCATGCCAGGGCCCGTGCCAAGGATGCACGAGCTTTCACACCTGTTTTGATCGAATTCCCAGGACAGCTCATGAGGCTGGGACATTACTATTATGCCCTCTTTACAAACAAGGAGAAACTGAGGCATGGGTTGCTGGAGGCACCCTCCCGGAGTCAGCCTCGCAGAGAGTGAGTGTGGCCTGGCAGGGGGTCATTACATGTTCTCATTCAGTAATTAGAGAGAGAACCCTGGTTTGTTTCCAAGCTGAGCCAGTTTCATATTCTTCAGGAAAAAAATTGTTTTTTGTTTGTTTCGTGGTTCAATAAAGAATGACTCTTTGGGCTCAGCTGGATGTTCGACCGCACTATGTGGCTTGTCCTGGGTGTTGGTCATGGCTCTGTTCTTGTCTTGCCTGGAAAAGAACCTGCAGCTAAGTGCTGTGGGGGGTTGGGGAGCAGGCCGAAGAGGGGAGGGTGCCCGGTGCTGCCAGGGCCCTGGGGTGCTCAGCCTCTCTGCCCCGGCCCACCACATGCAGGCCAGGCAGCTGAGCACCTTCTCTGACTGTGCTATCCTGGGGATGAGGGTGGGGCACGACGGATCTGAAACACTGGCCTGTGGGGGTGACGCTCCTTCCTGCCCCCCACCCAGACAGCACGGAGAGCCAACCCCTGCGTGTAAGGGGCTGCCTTTGCCTGTCCTGTCCTCGTGGGATCAGGGGGGTAGGCCAGTGCTGTCCCCGCTGGACACAGAGCTGCTGACTCGACTGTTCACCTGGGAGCGCACGTTCTTGTTCGGAGCCAGCCAGCATGGGCGGCTGTGGGGCCATGGGGTTGGAGAGGGCAGGAAGGGGGCTCCCTGGGGTCTGCACAGCCCCTGGCACCTCCTAGAGCTAAAGGGCTGCTTCTGTTTTCTCTTGCAGTTACCGAGAAGGAAGTCCAGCAGTGGTGAGTAGCTGTTTTTTCTCAAACTGTTGGCGCGGGGGGGGGGGGGGGGGGGGGGCAGGGCCTGGGGGTGTTGGCTTTGGGCTGATGGGACATCCATCCAGCTGCCCAGGACAGGGGCACGCAGACAGGCTTCTGAGTGGGGCTCAGCCACCAGCTGGTCCAGGCGGCCTTCGTTTAGATTCTTTTGGTCACAAGGGACTGAGGCAGAGCCAGGTGAACTGGGAATGGGGAGGGAGTGTTGGGAACTCCTTGCCTTGTGTGTCATCTCTAAGGCCTCCTGCCCTGCTCACCAAAGAGAGGGGTTTGGACCAGAGATGAGCCAGGAGACTGGGTCCCAGGCCTGGCTCTTTCCCTAAACCGCTGATGGCCTTGAGAAGTCTCTTCCCTTTTCTGGGGTTGAGCTACCTCTTCTATAAAGTGATCAGTTAGGCTGGACCAAGGATGACCGAGAGGTTTCTTCTTGGATGCCAGCCCTGATCAATCCGTAGTGGGCTATGTTAAGAAGGATTCTGAGGCTCTATGTCCTGGAGCAAAGGGAAAGTGGAGCAGTGAGGGCTCCATTACAGTGAGGGCTGTAATGGGTTAGTGATGCCTGCCTGGGCTGGGGGAGAGGGGAGGGGCATATTGTTGTCTCTAGGTCACCTGTGGGATGTTCGTGGTGCTGACAGGGAGGCTCACACTAAGGTTCACCTGAGGTTAGGTGGTCCAGGAGGGGAGGAGGCAAGCCCGAATGACTTCCAGGAAAGTTTGGTGGTTTAGAAATGGACTCTAGGGCACCTGGGTGGCTCAGTCAGTGAAGCATCTGCCTTTGGCTCAGGTCCTGATCCCAGGGTCCTGGGATCGAGCCCCGAATCTGGTTCTCTGCTCTGTGGAGAGCCTGCTTCTCCCTCTCCTTCTGCCGGCAGCTCCCCCTGCTTGTGCTCAATCTCTGTCAAATAAATAAATAAAATTAAAAAAAAAAAAAAGAAAAGAAATGTTTGTAGAAATGGGCTCTAGAATGCTGAGTAGGACTCAGGTGATTCCCTGAGCCTCAGTTTCCCTGTGTGTATGGCAGGAATGATGATACCCTGGAAAGACATTCCCTGGGAAAGTCATAGCATAGTGACCAAAGGATGAAAGCCATGGCCAGTGGTCTTCTGTGCACTGTTCCAATGGGGACTGGGCCTAGAGATGTCGTACCCCCCCCCCACCCAGCCAGGAGACTCCTGGGCAGCTCTGCAGGGGGCAGGGCTGGGCTCCCCTAGGGGCCACTCAGCACAACTCCCCGTCCCTGAGTCCAGGCCACAGAGGGGGGCAGCTAGCTGGGTGACTCTGCTCATCCTGTGCTGGATACGGAGCCAGGTGCCCAGAACGTGGATGGTTCTTGGGGGTAGGGTGGGGGGGGGCGCATGGAGGGAGCAGCCACCACCACCTTCCTCCTCCCCCACATCCGAGGACCAACATGTGGGTCTGATCTGCCTCTGACCTCATTTTCATTCCTCCACTTCCCCAGGTGAGCGTTCCAGAAATGTTCCTACTTCTAGGTCTTTATCCCGGCGGCTCTGCCTTCTAGAACTCCCCACCCTTCCTTCCTGGGCCCTTGTCTACTCATATCTACCTTCTGGAACTCCCTCCCCTTCTTTCCTACCTTCCTGAAAGCCAGCTGAGCTTTCCGCTCCCAAGGCTCACCTGAGTCTCCCCCTCCAGGAAGCCTTCTGGGATTCCCCATCTGTGCATTTTCTCCCTCCCTCCCACATGGCAGCCAGAGGGGACATTGTTGAATGAAAACCTGACAATGTCCGGCTTCTGCCTAAACCCTGCCTGGAGCTCAGGGGAAGGCCATGCCTTCGGTAAGGTAATGTGAGCGTGAGGACCTGTGTGGTCTGACCCTGTGGGCCTCTCCAGTCTCACCGCTGTCTCCTTCTGCCGCCTGGCCTGCCTGACCACCTTGCCCTCTGGGCCTTCCTGACTTTTGCCTGGTCTGTCACCATGCCCCCCTGCTCTCCTGGGACACCGCTCCACTTCTTTGCTTGGCTACCGACTCCCACCCTTAGGGCTTCTCCCCTGAAACCCCAGGACTCCCAGGTGAGTGAAGGCGCCCCCGCCCCCCTACAGCCGGGGACACAGCAGGCAGTGGTTACTCATCTGTCAGCCTCCCTGCTTCCTTTCCTGGCCCTGGGGGCTGGCCTTGCTTGGTTCACCCCTGCATCCCCAGGGCCTGGCTGCAGCAGGTGCTCAGCCTCCAGGAGGCACATCCCAAGGGCCTCACATCCGTTGCCTCATTGACTCCTGAGAGCTGCCCTGGGGGCCGGAATTGTGTCCTGCAAGCTCTCACACGTGGCCTCATTCCGTTCCTCCTCACCGGCACCCGGAGGACAGAGGTGGATCCCTTCATAGCATTTCCTAGATGGGGCCCCTGAACCTTGGGGCCCTGCCTTGCTCACATCTGTGTTTTCCCTGGGGAAGGCAGGGCAGAGCAGCCAGGTGGGCTTCAGAACCAGGGCGCTGGGCTTGAGTACCCATGCCTCACGTTGAGCAACCTTGGATAAGTTACTTGACTTGTCAGGGCCTTGGTTTCCCCATCTGGAAAACGAGGGTAATGATAGTCAAACTTTATAGGAATATTGTAAAGAACAAATTATCTAATCCGCATAAAATATCTGGAGCAGAGCCTAGTGAGCGTGTCCCTGTTGGTGGTATTGATAATGATCCTGATATCATCCATCATCAGTACAACCCATGGAGTGGTCTGGAGATTCAGGGTCCCCTCCTCATTATGACTATGGGAAAACTGAGGCCCAGAACAGTGGCATGACTTTGGATCATTTGCCAAGCTGGTATTTCAGCTTCGAGCTGGACAAGGACTCAGCCATGGGAGGGCTCAGGAAAGAGCAAGCTTGGAGATGCGGTGGGAACAGGCTCAGCATGTTTGAGGCCCGCCCGTGAAGAGCCGTGGCTGAGGCTCCCATAACAGAGCTGGGGCCCCAGGCCTTGTGACACCCAGTCCTTGGGGTGGGGTGACTCTCTCTGAAGAGTTATAAAGACAAGAGCTTATCTTTCTCTGCCAGAAAGTTCTATGGGCCTCAAGTACATGTCCTTTGGTTCATTTTGGAGACGCCTTCAAGGTGAGGAGACAGCAGACTCAGTGCCTTCCTCCGGCCCTCCTGGGTCAGCCCACGGCCCAGCTCACTGTGGTATTCTAGAATGGCTACATCCCATAGGGTGAAGCTAGACTGGAGATGATTAAACAGGATACACATGCCACCACTCTCCCTGCCCAGTGCCCATAGCAGACATTAGTAATGGATCACAGATTATGGCACTCTGGATCAGCCTCCTCCAGTGCTGATCCAGTGGCACTGGGAGGACACTGCCATTGTCACAGGCACACAAAATGAGACCACTTGTTACCCCTCGATCGCCCCGAACCTCACTGGCTCACTGGGGCTATAGGTGGCCCACCATCCCCTCTATGTTTTGCAAGGAAACAGGTAGGATGAGCACCTGCATCCCAAGCGCCCTGGCCCCTTCTCATGGGATCCTCTTTCCACTCAGCCCCCAGCTAGTCCTTTCATGTCCTAAACAGCTCTCAGGGCACTCAAGAGCTGGGGACCGTGCCGATGCCTGCCCTCCCTGGGAAAACTCAGGGCTCCTGAGCCTCACCTGCCAGGGAGCAGACCATCTGGGTGGGAGTGGGGAGCCAGGAGGGAGGCATATGCAGAGACCCACCCAGCCACGTAGAGTTTTCTCTCCTACCTGCGAAGTGCCTGCATGGATCCAGCCCGAACAGTGGCTTTGGCTTCCTCCTGTCCGTCTGTCTGTCTCTCTGTCTCTACTCCACCCTCTCTCAGTGCACGTGGAATAAAGCCCTAATCCCTTACCTCGCCCTCCCTTACCGGGATCTGTCACTTCACCTTCTCCCTTGGCCTTGTGGGACCCACTGGGGACCCCCACTTGCTGTCCCTCACCCACACCAGGCTCACTCCTGCCTCCTAGAACCCCCGTCCTTGCTGTGCCCTCTGTGCCCCCATCTTGGCATCTCCACCCCAGTGTCATCTCTTCGGAGAGGCCTGCCTGACCGCCCAGTCCTTATTTCTCCAGTGTGCTGTAGGATCACCTTGTTTCATGCTGACTTTCTGTGCAGCCGGGTAACCAAGGCCTAGGTTGTCAGGAGTGCAAGGCCAGACTGCAGCATTGGGGTGCTCAGGCCAGCAGCCCCAGGGCTTGCATTCTGCACCGGGCTCCCATTGAGTGCTCTCCGGGGTCATCTCAGGGTCTTGCAGCCCTGCACTGCTGTGTGCTTCTCTGTATTTGTGGGGAGGAGGCTGGAGGCTGAGGGGTGAGGTCAGGGTCGGGGTCCACAGCCAGTTTGGGCCCCTGCCCCTTGCTCCTGACCATCTCCATTCCTGTGCTGAGCCTGATTTGTCACCACGGCAGATCTGGAACCTCAGTGGGGATTGAGAAGCTGCAGCAGGTCCCAGGCCCTTATGATGATTGTGAAGTTGCTGTCACTCAGAGAGGAGAGAGACAGCAGGGCACAGATAACCTGCCCCCCCTTCCCCAGCCCCGATCCCCATGAACACAGGCAGAGGGCCAGGAAGCTGGGAAGTAAGAGTGTGTGGGGTGGCAGCACCATGTGTTAAGGTTACCTTTCTCTTTTATATTTTCTATTTTCCAAATTTTCTGAAGAAATTGAAGCTCAGAGGGGCGGAGACACTTGCCCAGGTGGCCCAGTGCTGTGTGTGTGTGTGTGTGTGTGTGTGTGTGTGTGTGTGTGTGTGTGTAGTCAGGGCCCAGCTCACTCCACCTCCATGGCCCAGCCTGTGGGAGCTCCATTCTGCTGGCTCTTGCCTGGGCAGGCCCCCAAAGCTGAAGACCACAGGGGCTGAGGGGAAGGACAGAAAGGAAGGGGCATCCTCCTCATGGGTGTGTTTGGGATCCTCCTCCAGGATCTGCGCTGGGAGAGGAGCACCACGGGAGGGGGGTGTTTGTAAAGGTAATGGTGCACCACTGGGGTCGCG